TGGGGGTGTCGGAGGGCTCGGCGGCGAGGCGAGCGTCGGAGGGCTCGGCGGCGAGGCGAGCGCCACGCGGCTCAAAGGGGCGCAGCCGCTGCACCCGATCGGAAACTCGTCTACGACCTTGGCGCAGGCGGCGAGCTCGGTGAGACCGCCGCCAGGCGTGGACTGGAGCCAGTCAATACGCGAGGCGCACGAGTGGCCTCCGACGATAGTGGCCAGGACCGTCGGGGTGCAGGACGGCGCGCAGGGCATTTAGAGACTGCCACGTGCAGATCGGAGACACGACGTTCTCTTCGACGGTGAGCAGAGACGCTGTATAGGAAAATAAAGAAAAACCAGCACTGGAGCGCGACACAACGGTGTCGGCGAGAGACTGCGAAGAGAGATAGGAAGAGGCGGACGCCCAAGGGTGGGCGACGGCTAGCGCATCACACCCCTCTCCTTATAAAATCCCTGTGTGGTGGCGGCGTGCCGTCTTCCTCCCTTGCGTTGCCTGTTTTCTTTCTTTCTTTTAGCCCTCGTTCACTTAACCCTCCCTCACCCTCCCTCTGGCGTCAAGTGTTCTAGCGCTCCCCTAGAGTGTTCAGGACCACCCTAGTGGGTATGAGGGTGTTGGCCTGGCTGCTGGTGCAAACACAGAGCGATAGGGTGGCCCATGGAGGCCGCCGTCACCAAGGGTTAAACACCCACGGGGAGGCCCCCACGAGCTTGCCTCGACGCCTCGCCCTCCCGTCCACCGCAAGTGTTTCAGAGCACCCTGAGGCATCTGGGGCTACTCTAGGGTGCATTGGTGTGTGTAATTTGATGCTGTTGAGTTCACACAGAGGTAAGGTGGCTCAAGAAGAAGCCACCCGCCCGACCCGAGAAGGCTCCGGGCCAGCCCCTCTGACAGCTGTCTGACAGCTCTCTCTGCAAGGAAGGCGGCGGACGCGGCCCAGCGCTCATAGAGAGCCGCTGAGAGGAGGACATGACGCCGCCCGGCTGACGCCTGCTGAGCGTCAGCCCCTCGCCGCCCCGCCTTCGGGCGCCTCGGTTTCGTCCAGCGGAGGCGGCGGCGTCTCGACCCGACGCCGCGTGAGGCAGGCGGACTTGCGCTCGCGGGAGTGGCTCAGCCTCAGGGAGCACGGGGCGGCGGCGGCTGAGGAGGGCGGGTAGACTGCTAGTCTCTCTCCCACGTCAGTTCTCGGTACTAACATCGTGAAGCGAAAGAAAGAAAGAAAACAGACACCCCAAGTGAAGAAAGCGGTCACGTGTAAAAGAAACTAACATAGCTACCAGACATCCCAAGGGAGGGATGGGAGGACGGCACGCCGCCACCACACAGGGATTTTAAGGAGAGGTGTGTGGTGCTCACGTGTAAAAAGAAAGAAAGAAAACAGACAACCCAAGGGAGGGATGGGAGGACGGCACGCCGCCACGTGTAAATAAATAAATAAATAAAACGGACATCCCAAGCTAGGGCTGGGTCGAGGACAGACACGTCCCCACCTTTGCAGGATTTTGCAAAAGCGAGGGGGGAGGGGGCGCATCGCGGCGCGGAGAGGCCGCCACGTGTGTTGTGCTGGCGGCTGAACAAATTCTTTGCGGCACGCGAAACAGCCCCGAGCTCGGCCGGCAATCTGCCCGCGCGATGCACAGGCCGTGTCGCCTCGCGCGCCGGCGAGCACGGCCAGCTCTCCCAGCCTGGCGGCTGCCCCCAGCAGCCTGCGCTGTGCGGTGGCGGTCCGACACCTCGACCTTGCCGACCAGCTCGCAGTTGCGCT